GCTCCTGCTGTAGACCGTGCGCACCGGGGACGTGCGCAGGAGGCCAAGCTAGAGGAACGACGTCACGACCTTGGCGTCGCGCCCATTGGCAAGAGCCGGATGTACGCGGCGCGGCCGACGCGGACAAAGTGGCGCGCAGTACGAACGAGGATCGCAGCGAGAGCGGTGGGCGAGAAGGCCGGGGCATCCGTGCTTTGACCACCGCGCAGACGACTCGCCAAGGAGGGACTTCGAGGGCTGGACCATGGTCGCTGCCAACGGCCGGCGCGACGAGGAAGACGCGCTGGTCAACGATGCAGCGAGAGGCGGCGGTACAGCCGCCGACCGGGCAGACATAGGACGCCGAATGCTGGACCAACGTCGTTGACAAACACGCCCGCGGCCGATGTCGGTGTGCATCTTCGGATGTGTAATGCGCGCGCGCGACCCCGCAGCATCAGCGCATCCTCACAAGCACGTCGCCGCGCGCGCTACCGCGGCTGTCCCTGTCGTTCCCGAGGTCAGTGTGTACGTCCAGAAAAACGGTAATAGAAAGAAGACGCACGCTGTGGGCGCAATCTCTCCTTCTCCGTGTTACGGCTTGTGGGAGTACTGACAGCGAGCGATACATGCAGTCGACCTCCATATGACGGAGATAGCGTGGTATGCACTTCTCCGGGACCACGTCGTGGACAACTCAGCCACCCCGGGACCCGGCGACCCAGTCACCCTGGAGGGCGTGGTACACGACGGCAATGTCTTGCACGCCGGGTGCATCGACAGCGACTGCTGTATAAGGGGGTACAAGTACACAATCCCAGATTGCACGCGCGAGACCGAGTGCAGTGAGAACGGCGCGGCCCTAGCGTGGCTGGTGACGAAGACGTTGATGAGCGCCATAGAAGAACGACATAGCCATTGCTACGAAGCCGACGACGCGCCCCTGGCGCGGCCGATGACAAAGACGTACATAGACGGGCAGGGCGCGCTGTTGCCGTAGGAGAGCGAAAGGGCCATGCCGTGCTGGATGACCTGATTGTACTCGTCAACTGGTGGCTGCGTTTTTCCGTGTGCAGCTGAGCACCGCCGCGGCTGAGGAGTCGGATGCAGGGGCTCGAGCGTGCCGTGGCGGAGGGCGGCGGGAAGATAGATGGCGCCGCGCGAGAGGGTGCGAGCTATCCGGCCGTCACTCGACTTTGAGAGCTGCATCATTGCCGTGGAGGCCAGCGGAAGACACAAAGGCGCATCCGCCAGCCGTACAGATAACTCGTCGAGGAAGACACTGGAAGATACGGGCCGTTGTCACTGATGAAGACAACGCGTGCTCGCCGACACCGGATGTGTGTGGGAGGTGCAGCCGATGCCGCTGTGCATCTTCGGGCCCGTAAGGAAACCCCGTGGTCAACAGCCGCGTGCACGACCCGGCACGTCGTTGTTCTCCCGCCGAAGTCAGCGTCGATACCTCGGTGGCGGAAAGAACGTACCCTGCGTTTGGAGATCGCGGAAGTCGTGTTCCACACCCGTATGAGGAACAGAGAGAGATAAGTAGCCCGTTCGTAACCCATTGGCCCGCGAGCGCGGTGGATGGGGGGCAAATGAGGAGGCGGCGCGGAGGGGGTTCGCGCGGAGGCGTAGCACGCCGCGAGGGCGAGAGCGAGAGCTGTTCAGCGATCGACGAGCGGCAGACCCACCAACAGGGAGCCGCAGCGGGCCCGGAACGAGAGCCCGGAGATAGTGAAGGCCGTACTTAGGAGAACGGTGTGGCCATGGCCGATATCCCGCACGAGAATTGCGTGCGCAGCTGCGAGGATGCAGTCGGATGCAGCGGTCGTCGGTGTCCGACTCCTATATGGGTGCGCCGTCGCTGACGGTGAGCGACTGATCATCGGGGTGTATCGGTGAAGAGATGGGTCTCGTCGCACAGGCTCTGCGATTGCAGAGAGAGCATCGACTGCATTGGCGTTGGTGCTGGCTTGCCCAACGAAGGAGAGAGCCACGGCACCGCTTGCTCCACGGCGACGCATCCAAGCCCAAAGAGCCGCCGTCCCTCGTCTTGGTGACGAGACCGAATGGCTGCTGAGACAATGAGTCCGCGCCGAGCAGGCGGCGCGGGATCTTGGCCGCACTACGCCTCGCCGATACGGACGGGCGTGTACACGGAGGGCGGTCGAGGAAAAGCCTGCGTGCAGGACAAGGGGGCGGAGGGGAGGGGAAGCGGGGGAAGGGAGTAGGGCTGATTAGGGTGGGGGTGGCGGGGCAGACTGCCTGACATGACATCGCAGAATTATCGTCCTGAGCGGAGGGTGCAATCAAACGACGTGGACGTGCGTCGCCGTACGCAGATGTGTTCGCAAGGAAGGGGTCGGCGTTGGGAGGGACGCACACGACAAACGAGGGTGTTTGCGTACGTAGGATGCGTCGCTGTCCATCTAGCCGGAAAAGGCCGCATCGCCTGCATTCACGACCCGGCGCGGATCCGTTGCATCGCATGGAAGATGCAGGGTCTGTATCCAAGTAATGCGTGGCTGGGAGCAAATCGATGACACCGCCGCGAAGCGCATAGCGCGCGTGCGCTACGAGGGTGTCGATTCTACGTGTCTGCGCGTATCTGCGCTGCTAACCAACTGCTAACTGGTGGAATTGAGCGGATACGAGCGCACGATGTGCAGGGCGTTGCGCCCACCGGATGCGTCACTGGAGGCGGCGAACGACTCTGTACAGCCTACGTTGGCGACGCGCTGCGTCGCGTACAAGATGCGGAGTCTGAATCTAGTAAGGCGTGGCTGCGCGTGCTGACGCGGACGCTGATGCGGGCGACGAGGGAGTGCCTTTGGATCGCGCACACAAGTCAGGGCGGCCTGGATTCGCGACGGAAAAGGTCGGATCGGAGTCGTGGACAAGCTGCAGAGTCTCGAAAGTGCGCCGCAGGGGCGGGCGCGGATGTGAGCCTGTCATTAGGGTGGGTGGCGCCGAATGGACGACGCGCGGGCGGCTCTTAGAGTACCGTCAGCACTGTACTCCTACGCATTTACAAGGGGGAAGACTCACACAGAGTTATCCTAGACGCAGACGCACTGTTCGAGCAGATGGAGATGCATACGGTTGAGGTGGTGCGAATGGGGGGGGGATTGGAGGGGCGAGGAAGCTGAGTGACTCGGGCGGTCGTCATATATCCCAGAATCGATATACGCGTCCGGCGGTCTGGAACGCCGCATATATTCGCATCCCGAAAAACCTGAGCGCGCTAGGCTGGACGACTGGTGAATCCGCCTCCAAAACGGTCATTGGCCCATCGCGCCCGTATGCGGGTCTTCGAGTTACTCGTCGATAAACGAGGTCCGTGATAGGCTGAGGCACTTGGCATTACGCTGGACTGCTCGTCGTCGTCCAACAGGATGGTGAACTGATGATGAATATGTTTCGGGCGTTTCGGGCCGATCATTGATCATCACGGGCCGTGTGCACGGACCACTTACTCAACATCCAATGTTCAACCAAGACTGCTTCCCTTTGACTCGTGCCATGGTCAGTTCCGTCTACTTAGTAGTAATCCAGCCCCGCATTTTCACCACGGCTCAAGGCTAGGTGATAAGCGTAGATGACATTCTCTGACGAAGTCACCTCAGGCTAACTCACCTTTACAGTAAATCAGTCGTCTTCGAAATTCCCAACACTCCGAAATTTGCCCGTGCAACAAGCACAGCGTCCGGAATTATAAGCCTTCAGAGACCACCGTGGATGGCGTCCAATATCCGTAGCCTTTGGCTTTGCGCACTGGGCATAATATACCTCCTCCTCCTGGTACATGATAGGGTTCGAACCCCATCGAAGACATTGCACTCCGGATCGCCACGATTTTTTGATTAGGTCCGTTGGGGTGAGTCCCGAATCCCCATCTTCCTGCATTTCTTAGACGTCCAACGCCCCACACAGCCAGTCACTTTTGGTACCTTGCCTTACGCGACCATCTATATTTCTGTGGATTTCCGAGATGGCCGAGAACAAAACGCGGTCAACCGCGATTCAAGTTATTACAAGTAAACTGAAACTCGACGGCTGGGTTTCATCACCTTGCTAGGCTACGAACTAACCAAACAGCCTTCGTATCATGGCGATTTCCTTAGCTCAATATTGGGTGGATATACCGGTCATTACTTATTGAGGGGAGGGAGGTTCGATTCCTTCCGGAGGCATATACGTTCCGGATTCGTAAACCTTTTTGCCTGTGTGGCCGTTGAGTGCACTCGTTATCAACAGCGAGCCGTGCAACAAAGCTGGGGTACGTATGAATCAAGGTAATCATGATCACATTTCAAGTTGAACGTGGCAAAGTGTTGACCTTTAGCATCACATCAGGCTCTCCATTTTCCAATCCGACCCTCGTATCTGTAGAAAGGTCTGAATAGAAGCCACAAGCCTTCGAGGATCACGGCGATCCCCTCATTCGAGTAACCGATGTCGCAGGATGCAACGAGGAGATGGAGGTTCGCCTCCTCCCGAAGGCCTCCTTATGTGGACTGACATACTTTTTTTTTTCATAAGCAGAGCTTAACGGGACTCCAGGCACGAGTTGTTCGACACTATACCAAGTCAGTCCCCCAATGACTTCGAAAAGGTCCGACCCAGGTTGAATCTGACTGAAGATGTCAACACAAAACGATCCCATGGCTCAAGATATCTCCAAATCCAGCCACGCGTCAAGAGGAATCGCATGAACGTTCAAAGCGTTCGTGGAGCATGGTGATCGCCCCATGGCGTTGAGAGGGTCTACATATCTGGCATTATTTGATTCCTCCCGAAGGCGTCCAGTGGTTCCAACGTGGGGTTTTTTTTTCTCTCTCCACGGTCCTCCTATTATAACCACAGACGTGGATGGCTCAACATTGAAACAAGTCCTAATGACTTTGAAAAAGTCCGACCAAGGTTGAATCTGACTGAAGATGTCAACACGAAATCATCTCATGGCTCAAGAAACCTCCAAATCAAGCCACGCGTCAAGAGGAATGCAACAGATCTGGAAAGCCTTTGTGGATCACGGTGATCGCCTCGTCCCAGTAAGGGCGGTATATCTCGCAACATACAATGAGGAGACGGAGGTTCAATACCTCCCGAAGGCGTGCAAAAACAAAGCGGCAGTTTTTTTTTCTTTCGGAAAATCTTTGTGGGAATCCAGGCACGAATTGTTCCACACTATACCAAGTCAGTCCCCCAATGATTTTGACGACGTACTTCGCAAGTCTGATGGCGAAGGTTGAACCTAGTTGAAGATACTCACGAACTTAAAATCACCTCATGGCTGAGGATTCCGAATCCAGCCACCCGTCAAGAGGAATCGAATGAACGTTCAAAGCCTTTGTAGATCATGGAGGTTCTATCTGGCATTATTTGTGGAGACGTAGGCTCGAATCCTCCCGAAGGCGTGCTGAAAGACAGCGGCAGTTTTTTTGCTTTCGGAAAATCTTTGTGGGAATCCAGGCACGAATTGTTCCACACTATACCAAGTCAGTCCCCCAATAATTTTGACGACGTACTTCGCAAGTCTGATGGCGAAGGTTGAACCTAGTTGAAGATACTCACGAACTTAAAATCACCTCATGGCTGAGGATTCCGAATCCAGCCACCCGTCAAGAGGAATCGAATGAACGTTCAAAGCCTTTGTAGATCATGGAGGTTCTATCTGGCATTATTTGTGGAGACGTAGGCTCGAATCCTCCCGAAGGCATGCCGAAAGTAAGACGCTCTTTTTTCATATTGTTTGACTGGACCATGGGTAGGGTGAGGTTGACCTTTGACGCTGGCTGGAGATTTGAACATGAAATCATCTCATGGTTGAAGATCATTCTGAATGCAGCCAGGCGTCAAGAGAAATGCAATAGACCTCGGAAGCCTTCGTTGATCATGGTGATTGCCTCATAGTGTTGGTCCATTGCGGGAATATGTGAGGTAGGTAGGTAGGTAGGTAGCATTACACGGCACGGTCCCGCTCAGGAACGCCGGTTTGAGGAAGTATCCCGGTGCACCACAGGCTATTTATGCACACCATCGTCCCTCACTTCTAAAAGCCTCTCGAGCCGAGCTCACGCACCCGGTCCCCCGTCGCGCTGTAGAACCCGATCGACTCCTAGAAGCAAAAACTCGGTATAAAGACACACAACATACCGTCCCGCATCTGCACCGATCAAGCACTGGATCATTAAATCATTTATCGAGTCCCCGACTTGGTTCAGTAGCTCCCAATCGATCTCGAAGTGGTGGGGCATCAAGCAGCAGGATCAGGATTAGATATATGTCCGAGCATTGCCAGGTACAAGAAAGTGGTAGAATATTTGCACGCCTTCATACCAAGGCACAACCCTGAAGTGAACTGTGAGGAGACTGAGGTTCGATTCCTGCCGGAGGCATACGTCCGAGAGCGTATTTTTATTTCTTGAAAGTCTCAGAAATCCCCCAACGCTCAACGGAAGCTTCAAGTACGCCGAGCGCTCGGTTTTGGCCGCGGAGAACCAGGTTCGACAGGTCGACCATAGAATGTGAGCACTGAATAAAATCATATGCATCTCAGAGCTGAATATGGGTCCGGATTCATTTAGCCGTTATGAGGAATGGATTGGACCTTGGAAGCCTTCGTTGATCATGGTGATCGCCCCATGGCGTTGAGAGGTTCTTGGGATTATTTGAGGAGACGGAGGTTCGATTCCTCCCGACGGCACGCTGAAGGTAGGACGCCCTTTTTTTCGAATTGTTTGAAGAAAGGTCTATGTACAACCACTACTCTGCGGATTCTGGACCATGGGTCGGAATTTGACGGTGGGGCTTGAACCTGGCTGAAGATTCGAACATAGAATCATCTCATGGCTGAACATCATTTTGAATCCAGCCAGGTGTCAAGGAATGCAATAGAGAGCTTGAAAGCCTTGGCGGATCATGGCGGTCCCCTTATACGCGCGAAGCCGGTACACTTCAAAAGTTCAACTAGGAGACGGAGGTTCGATTCCTCCCGTCGGAGGCATATGAGCAATCCGAGAGCGTGTTTTCCTCTCTCGAAAGTCTTATGCGACGATGCACGGAATCCTGAAGACATAACTCGGTATCTGGCGCTGATTCGATCGGATTGAACGGTTGAACACCGAACACTCAATCAAGATCCTTTCTCGTTATAAATCCCGTCACAGGTCAAGAGGAATGCAAATAGAGGTTGAACGTCTTTGTAGATCATGGTGATCCCCTCAGTCAACTGTGGCTTGTAGAGCGTATCATTGGAGAGCTGGAGGCTCGATTCCTTCGGAAGGGCGTGGAAGTGGCCCAGCGCAATATTTTCTCTTGACGAGTACATCTACCACTAGGACGCAGCATTACAAAACGAGATCCCTCAAATCCCATCCTCGTCCACGATCCAACACCGCGACCCTGAGCACCCGCGTGTAAGCATTAACGAAGAACGGACAACCGACAGCGAAGAACGAACTTGGTTCAATTTCCCCGCGCCGCTTCTTCGCAACAAAGGCCTCCGCGCGCGTCCAAAAGTCCGGTTCTCCCCTCGTCCCAGCGATCCAATTCCCGTCATAATCTTTGACTTCGTTCATCCTACAAACATAGCGTACGTCGCCAGTCAAGTTATCTGCGGGCCACCATCCGTGTCGGACTACGAGCACGTGGAGAGTTGGGCACGACGCAAGGATATCGTTTGAGAGGGGAAGCATGAATCCTCCCAGCCCTTCCAAATGTGTGAGGGCAGGGAGACGAGCGAGAAATTCTATCCCGCTCGCAATATCCTGTGCTGGAATCCGATCAATGGCGTCGATGATAACGAGGTGCGTGACGAAAGTGAACATGGGCATGCACGGCTCTGGCTCCTTTATTAAAGGAACTATATGTATGCCCAAGCGCCGTGGTCTCATAGCAGCAAGATACGGAAAGAGTGATTGGTGGGGCTCGTGGACTAGCTGGAGTGTTTGGAGGCCACTGCAAGCAGACATAATATCCTGAACCGCACTGAGTGGGTTTAGGCGTGGAAGGAATAGATGCCGGACGGAATTATGGAAAAATGTCGCAGGCTTTGACTTTGATACAATCGCCGTGTACAGAACCCAGAGAGGACAGGATGCATGTACTCCTTCGCCGGTGACGGTGTTGAATTTTATCTTTTCGATCCTGTAGCGAAGACAATTTATCCAGACCATTCACACCGTTCTAGGAATCAACTCACCACTCGTGGACCCGTTGTGAGACGCATAGAAGGCGAGGAATACATCCAGGGTATAGCTCTGCTGCTGTTTCGAAGATCTCGCATTCCAGCTCCGGAGGGAGAAATGGCGGGGTATTCAAGGACATGACGGAAGAGGGGGAAAACTCCTAATTATAAATGTGTGACTGAGGGAACACCTTGCACGGCGTGACGATCGGCGGGCAGATAGTTGACCGCAACTTAATGCCCATACAGGTCAGTCTAGGTGAGAAAAATGCCACGGAGGCATGAGAGTGATTGAGGCCGCACGTCGGATGGACAAGATTTCTTCCAGTTCAGCCTGAGGTTGACATCAATTAGGGATTCGAGTGTGCTATCGGAAGATGTCGGTCGCCACTGGAGTTACGCATGCCGAAATCGGATTGCTGGTATGAGAGCCTGAAGTTTACAAGGTGACAACTCCGGCGCTCATGGGGGTCAATCCCCGTATTGTTGTGGATGTACGTATTGCCATAGGGTGAATCTGTGAACCACTCTGAGCAGTGACGCCTCCTTCGTGAATACACAGTGCAAAGACTCGAGATGGTTTCCGGGTATAGCTGAAATTTCAACAAGAGCCCGTTCCAATCAAGTGGAAAGGATGGGGAGAATGGGACCGCCGTCATGGAGGTAGGAGACAAGAGACGCATCAGGCTGATCTGGTTCGGCATCCGCCGCTCTCGGCAATCAAACAGCTTTCTCTTCCTGCCACCATGTCTTCCACATCGACCTCGAGTCCCACGTACGATGGCGCTCCCGTATTTCCGCTCGAGATAGAGCTCGAAATATTCACTGTGACTGCGATGCTTCACGAGGAAACAATGCCCACACTTCTTCGGGTGGCACACCGCGTTTTGATTTGGTCGGTACATTTTCGGCGCAGTATCACGCATGACATTGAACAGGGACCACCAGGATCCGGCCCATGCTCTGCAGAACACTTGTCTTTGCAAGACATAGACACACGACCGCTCAGTTATCCTCTGCCACCCAAAGTATACAAGCAAGCCACTCGCGTTTAGGGAACATGTCCGCGATGTTATGTGGTGGGCTAATCAGAAGGAGGACCTGCGCACCCTTTTGTCAATCTGCACTGGCATCAAAAACCTGGCCTTGCGGACGCTGAACCCCCAGTTGGTCGATTGTATCTCGTCGTTGCGGCTGCAACGCTTGACTTCACCACTGTGGTCCCATTTGCTGCCCACACTAGCCTCATGTTCCTCCCTCACTCATCTGCATGTTCTCGACTACGGCGAGGCTGTCTTTCCATGGATTAACACCCTTCCTTCCCTCACGCACCTCTGTCTTGTCAAGGCTTTGTATACCGATCGTCCTTTGATCGAAACTCTTTTCAAGAAAGGCCAGCAACTCCGGGTTTGCGTCTTGTTCTTGACACCATACGATCAACGCGCCTCTGACCCTTGGATCGACGATGAACGTGTGGTGATTATGCCGTTGGAGGCAAGCGGTGATGATGTTCGGGACTGGAAATCTGGCGTGGATGGGGGCAGAGACTTCTGGGTCCGCGCGGAAGAATTTTTGGAGCTCAAGCGGAGGGACAAGAGCATCAGTTAGTTGCCGCCTTTCTCCTCGGCCCGCACGTACTTACTAATTCAATTAGCAACTCAGCTGTGCAGTGTGTACCAGTGAGAGCCTCACACAGGCTTCATCCCGTCGACGTGACGAGGATATTCTTATTCATTTTGTCCTTGAAGTTCTGCCTATGCAGCAGATCCATCCATTGCACGCACCTATCCTTTTACTCGAGTTCAATGCAATGACAAGTTTGGAGGAAAAGTGCTAGAGGGAGAATCTCCTCCAGCGCTGATCCATTTTCACAATCATCTTCCGGTTATATTTGAGCGGTAGATCTAAGCTTTCTGCCTATCATCT